TTCCCATGATGCTTCTGTCAACAGCTGAAAAATCCAGAAAACTGCATTACATAAATGAAGGGCCAGATTCTGGGTGGCGAGCTGCCCCCTTTACATTGTTTGAGCATTCAAAGCTACCAGATCTCCCTCAGTGGAGAGGCTACATCCAAAATGCATTGTGCTCAGTCAATCTGACTGGCAGATGGCCCTTTGGGGGTTGTTGCACCATATTTTAATGCAGACCCCCCTTTACCTCTTGGCTATTTGGGGGGTATAGCAAGCGAGCAGTGTGATTTTGTTTTTGCCTTATGAGTGATTTACTGTTCAGTAAAAGATTTTTAAAAATCTTAAGGGGAAAATTCATTCCTCAGATGCAACACATGTGGCTCTCATTGATTTCATTTGGAGCAATGTGAGTTTATGCATTAAGGAATTAAAATGTGACTTTTGATCTTTAAGAGCAATTAGTATGAAATTGGAATTGCAGTCCCAGCTAATACAATATTTTTCACTAGCGAGACCCGAGGGGTTAGGTAATATCTTTTATTGTGCTGATTTCTATTGGTGAAAAAGACAAGCTTTTGTATGTCCAAAGAGCTCTTCTTTAGTCTAGGACCAACACAGCTACAAAACACTGCACATTCTTTAGTACTCAGGGTCAGTGCATTCAAGTTAATAGCACAAAATAACCCTGTAGGGCCTCTTCCCTTCTTTCCTCCTCTCAAGGTGAGAAGAGGGGACCCCCCCCTTTTCTGTCACCCCTTGGGGGCGGGGCCATTTTATCCCATCTTACACCTATACAATTTATTATCTATCCCACCACCAGGGTCCATAACCATCTTGTATACAATAGTCCTACCCACTGCCAGTGCTTCCAGTTGCCGGAGGTAGGGGGACCTGGGCCTTCCCTCTCCACTGGGTCCTGACCCAGGGCCCAAAAAAGGGGGAAACTCTCAGTGTTTCCCCCTTTGGCTAATGGGGACACCGCCCGTAACATGTCAGCCCACAGGATTCAGAGAACCCCTTCCCCGGGTCGCTTCCTACCACTCCAGCGGGACGCTCCCCTACTATTTCGCCCTGTCCGAGTACCGTGTCCGGCATTCAGCTGTTCCTTTGGCCTCCCGAGTCCACAATGGCATCCAGCCTCCTCCTGGGTTTCTAGCTAGACATGGTTGAGGGTCTGGGCCTTCCTCCTGCTCGACCTCCCAGATCTCTGGGGTTGGAGTCCCTGTTGCCTCCTTCGGTCTCACCCCCTGGAGTCTGGGGCACACCATATTTAAAGGCTGCGCTGTAGTGTCGGTGCGACCACGGATTTGCCCACGCCCCGTGTGGCTCCTCTCCCACTCGCTGAGCTTCCCCCAGCCGGGTTGCCTGGAAACCAGAGGCAACAGTGCTCACAGCTTCCGGCCACGGCACGAACACTCATGCTTCCGCCAGTGGCAGCACATCTGCGAAAGTGTGGGGTTTATCTGCCCCATCACAAACCCAAACATAAAAATAATTCACAACTTTCCAGATATCTTTTAATATATTTGCCCCATCCATTTCTATTATTTTGCAGTGCTGTTTAGATACATACATATAAATTTAATTTACACTATCAACTTCAATAACAAGTTTTTATTTAAATAAAAACAAGATCAACACCTATGGAGGGAGGGAAGATGGGAAAGGGACAAAATAAGGAGGGGTATTACAGCTGGAGAAAAACAAAAGAATGGGATCTGCAAAGTCTAACTTGAATGATTCTTAAATGACTCCTCTTTTGCTATTATTAATTGTTCCCATGTGACATGCTAGGATAAGAACATAGGAATGGCCAAACGGGGTGAGAGCAATGATCCAGCTAAGCCAGCATTCTGTCTTCTGACACTGGTCTGTGCCAGGTGCTTCAGAAGGAATGAACAGAACTGGCAATCAGCACATGATCCATTCCCTATCAACCACTCTCAACCTTTAGCGAGAGGCTAGGGACATGCAGTGCATGAGGTTACATCCCTGCCCCTCTTGGCTAATAGCCATTGATAGAACACCCCATGAATTTATCTAGTTCTTTTTTGAACCCAGTTATAGTTTTTGCCTTCACATCATCTGCTGGCAATGAGTTCCACAGGTGGACGTGCATTGTGTGAAGAAGTATTTCCATTTGTTTATTTAAAACTTGATGCCATTAATTTCATTGGGTGACTCCAGGTGTTTGCATTATATAAAGGAGTAACTAACACTTATTCACTTTCTCCAAATTGGCCACAATTTTATAAACATTTATCATATTCCCTTTTAGTTGTCTCTTTTCCAAGATGAAAGTCCCAGTCTTTTGAATCTCTCCTCACACGTAAGCAGTTTCATTACCTTAATCATTTTTGTCGCTCTTCTCTGTTCCTTTTCCAATTCTAATATGTCTTTTTGGAGATGTGGTGCCCAGAACTGTACACAATATTCAAGGTGTGGGAATATGAAGGATGTAGATAGTGGCATTATGATATATTCTGGCTTATTATCTATACCTTTCCTAACAGTCACTAACATTTTATTAGCTCTTTTGATTGCTGCTGCACATTGAGCAGATGTTTTCAGAGAATTATCCACAATGACTCCAAGATCTCTTTCTGGAGTGGGATCAGCTAATTTAGATCCCATCATTTTCTATGTATAGTAGGGATTATGTTTTTCAATGTGCATTTATCAACACTGAATTTCATATGCCATTTTGTTGCCCACATATAAGTGTAGCGCCTAAAGGCTCCAGTCAACAATTATTTAAGCATGTGCTTAAGTGCTTTGCAGAATCAAAAACCTATGGGTTTGAACCTGCCACGTGCTGTGCACAATCAACTCACATTTAGCTCAGTGGGGACGGAGAGTGCATAAAAGTCCTTGGCACCTTGTAGGACTGAGCCTAGAGGTTCTGATTCTGAAAAGCAAAGGACATCACAATACAAGAAGTCTGAAAAGCCAGGTTCATCATTGTCCTGCCTTTTGTGTGCTCATCCTCACTTGTATCCAACTCAGAATGTCTGCATTCTGTTACCACTTTATGATCCCTTACCCAAGTGCAAATAACTACATAAAAGGCCAGGCAGTGGAAAATTATGCTTGAAATAACTTGTTTGCTCAGTTGACAGAGCTATGTATTGACTAACACTACTTTATTCATACCTGTACACCCAGAGACATTTCATAACTTAATGAGGCCAGATGCAAGCAAGGCACTCTTTGGAATTCAGTTAAGAGTTAATGAGGACAATTTTCAGTCAAAACATCAAGGCCTTTTAAAGTTGAATTTTACCAATGAAATGCCACAGTATACCTCTCATACAAGGAAAAAAGCTTAAGTTCTCCTCAGGTGCCGTGATAAGGCTGGTGAATCGTAACTAAAAGATATGAGGATCGCAGGAGGCATATTGTCTAAAGTAACAAACACTGGAAAAGAGAGAAGATTCCTCAGTTCAAAGCAAGAGTTTACAAACTCCATAAGTGATTCTTAGAGATTATTAAAAGTTTCTCAGCTTCTCAAAATGTCAGACCTAACCTTTACGTGTGAAGTAGCAACCCCATGCTTTAACCATCACAACTATCTGAATACTGCCTTGATCTATTTGGTCATTCATCTCTCATGCATTAATTAACTCTTTTTGCATTGTTTACTGATGATCAACAGAATGTATAGTGTCATATAAGCACTTACTAAGGCCTGGTGCTTTTCTTACAAAGCTTACAATTCTGCTCAGTGATCCATGCAACATATAGAAACATACAACAAAGGTTTTACTGTGTGAATAATAACAACAGTACTGCTAGTTTACTCTTATATACGCTATTTATTAGTTTGTTTTGGTCTGATTTGGTCTTTCAGCAAATCACAAGCTTACATATGGGACCTCCTCTTGCTCTTTTAGGGCCAAAACCAGCCTTGGTCAGTTCAGTGACATGGCAACCAGAGACCTGGTCAGGTGTGTCTGATACTCTGAGAATCAGGTGTGTCTGATACTCAGAGATAAGTCTAAGGCTACGTCTACACTGGCCCCTTTTCCGAAAGGGGCATGTTAATTTCACAGGTCGTAATAGGGAAATCCACGGGGAATTTAAATATCCCCCACGGCATTTAAATAAAAATGTTCGCCGCTTTTTTCCGGCTTTTTTTCTGCTTCAATGCAGAAGAAAAATAGCAAGTTATTCTCTTAAAAAAACAACAACTAGCCTACTTACAGTAGCACCTTAAAGACTAACAAAACATGTAGATGGTATTTTGTTAGTCTTTAAGGTGCTACTAGACTATTTGTGTTTTTTAAGTTTTTCCTGTTAAAGACTCACTCGGCTACCCCCTCTGAAGTTATTCTGTGGCAGAAATCAGAGAAGATGAGAAAATGTGGGCGAAAGATGAAACTTCGATCACTGTTTTCTAACTCTAGAAAGATTTGTTTTGTTTTCTAGATGGAAGCTTGAGTTTGTCCTTTATTTCACTTATTACCGTAACAAAGATGTATGGAAGACAGGCTTGGGGTAAATTTATCCTTGATGTAAATCTACTGTAGCAGTCATGTGAAAAGGGTAAATTTGACCTCTTGCTTTTCAAATGGAAAAACAACCTGACTTGGTATTTAGGTGGTTTTCATACAATCAGAGCAACACAGAAAAGCTTATCCTCTATTGTAATTTGCTTACATGCAATGGCTAATCTTGCTCACAAGATGGAGGCCAATATAATGAAACTTGATGCTTATATCCATATCTAAGCAACCAAGCTTAATTTTCGTGGGTCCTGAGCACTCACAACTCTTACTGTTGTTTGACTTTTTGCTTTAGTTTCATTTTTAGATTTAATCAGTTAATGCAGGCAAAGTTTATCTATCTATGTTTATTTTTTTTAAAGAATGAATAATGAATTGATGTGTACATAAGAGTCAGCAATGCCTCGCCCTCTTTTATGTGCAGCTAAATGTATACTCTGAGCTGTCTGCAGGGAGTAGCAGGTGCAGCATTATTGATTTATTTTAGAATGAGCCAACAAGTACAATGGATCTGAGGCTGAGAGAAAAAGGAGGCTGTGTAAAGTGATCCCCAACCTTGGCTTTTTAGTTAGATACTCTCATGTTTTTACAAATCTATGAGAGCAGAACTGTATTTTAATAAAACAGCTCTAATCAGGTGGCTCAGTGGGATTTTGCAAGACTCTCTTGTTGCTGGGTGGAACAGAAGAATTCTGATGATGATGGGTCTGCAGTGTGATGTGTTCCTAAGCCAGATTTTGCTGACTCATATAGGAGCAACCACAATGCCCAGACACAGAGCACTGTAACTGGTTTCCCCACCAACCTCGGTAAGTGCTCTTTTCCTGTCTATCACTAGCTGGCATATAGCTGTAGCGTTAAAGAGAATTAACAGGGAAAATGAATACCGCTGTAAACAAAATGTTAGGAGACAGATTCTGTTACGGGGGCACTTAAACAAAACCTGCTGTCTATGCAACATTGGCCTCTGTTTAAAACTGATCCATTCTGCTAACTCTCCCATCAGTATAAATGACACTGTATTTTTAAATGGGGAGAAGTACTTACAATAGCCATTTACAGTTGTATTCTCTTTAATTAGTCAGCATGCACAGTGCTGCAGGCATAGATCACTTTGCTTTAAAGATTTGAGAATGTTAATAGTACAGTATATCATTTTAATTATTATTGGATTAATGTTGTGTCTCCAAGAACATCTAATGCAAATCACCAAGAAATGGCCTAAAGTGACCCAAGGGTTGTGCTTTATTAGAAAAGTAATAGTTCTGTTGCTTAACTATAAAGAGATTTTCTTTCTTCAAATGTCATTCTGGATTGGTTTTGTGTGGAAATTAAATCCTCTTGTTTCCACTTTGTTCACAGAATCATTCGGTAGCTCATGCAGTAAATGGCTGAAAAGGTAGGTTTGATGTCCAGAGATGAAGAGGAGATGCAAAATAATGATGAAAAATATCCATTTCAGGCTTGTTACACCCTCTCCACAGCTGACTGCTGTTCTGCAAATGATTTGCTTAGCAGCCCTAATGAAGAGAGGGAAAGACTGTCTATTTCATCTAGCAAGGACAGAGAGTGTAAAAAAACTCTCATTGGACAACAACTTATTACTCATAATAAGGCACAAAACATAGCCCCTGGGATCACTGGCTACCATTCAACAGATGCAAATATATCACTAGCTGGATCATCTAGTCCAGAGGAAATCTGTACATTGAAGCCTGTAGGCATATCTTCTCCATGCCCAGAAAGCCTACACTGTGACCTCAATAAGTATTCTGAAGAGTTACAGCCTGCAGTGGTTGCTAAAAAGTCTGAGGAGGCCTCCCAAAATATTGCTTCCCTGCTCAGCTGCTGTCGTTCATGGAGTCCCAGTGCTGCACTAACCTGGAATAACACAAAGGAAGATATGGCCACTTGTAGCCTTGGCCAAACTACTTGGATGAGGACCATACAAGTAAAAGGGATCATAGAACAGAGAAAACTGGAAGAAAAGGAGAGATATCAACTCCAGGTAGCGATGTATCGGAGACTTCTGCTTCTGCGCTCAATTAGGAGTTTACATAAGCAGCTTGAGCAGCAGCAGTCCAGGTTG